AATACACACTCTTTCCAGATGTTACAGGCTTTGAAGACTGAAATATCTTTGCTGTTAAAGGTCAACGTGGAAATTCCCACTCTTGGCACATTCCCTGTGATGAGCTTCAGCCAGTGGCTTCTTGCATGGGGAGCCAGTATGGCCAAGGCAGAAAATACATTTCAACATGTTTTGAAATTTCAAGCTCACTCACCACACTTAGTCACCCTCATATAGAAGGGTTTTTCTTCATGCCCTTCAATAAACAAACCCATTTGCTTTAAGATGATGTTTCTTAAGTTTTCCAATCCCAGTGTTTTAATAGGCTGCAATATTTGGAAATGGCTGTTTCCCTTCCCTGGAACAGCCATTCCAGGCTTCATCCCCCCACTTGCCGGGGGCTGGAAGGGATGTGTGGGTTTTCTAGCCTCCTCTACTAACAGCTTTAAAAACTAAACCATTTCATGAGCAATAGAACTTCCAGAGATGGATTTAGAATGGATTTACATCTTGTGCTGGCCTCTGTGGTGTCCAAGAGGCATTGAGCTAAGGCTAACGATGCTGGGGCTCTCCCTGTCTGCCCAGGAGCATCAGAGTAGCTCCCACCAGGTTTGGACCAAGTGGTGATGTGAACACCATCAACTTGCTTGTCTTGGCTCTTACAGCTCAAATTACAATGTGATTAAATACCATACACATGGATTCCTAGTGCCAGCTGCTTTGCATTCCTTGAAATAGTGCCCATTTAAGAAAAAATGTTATTTATAGCTAATTTTGAAATGTTCATTGCCATGAAGGCACCAAACTTGCTGCCTGCAAGGGCCTGATTGTCTGAATTAGTTGTAAGAATCAGCCAACCCATTTGGTTTGCTTGTGAAAGGAGGGTGAAGGGGGTCCTGCTCTGCACCTGCAGTGGTGGACATCGCTGTCCCACAGGCTCTAAACTGGACCTTCACAGGGAAGGGGCAGACCAAACCTGCCTGTAAGGATGTGTGTGGGGAAAGGGCAAGGCTGTCTCTGTGAAAGCAAGCAGAGGGAGGGATTTTTAATCTCCATCAGATGTAGGCAGGGAAGGAGGTCACCTCTAGAGATCTTGTAAACACTACCTCCCGTGTCTAGCAGTGTTTGAGTTTGCAGGCTGGATCCAAAGCAAACGGTGGGAGTGCAAAAGAGGCTGCAGGAGGGCAACTTGGGATGTGCTGGGACATACGAGATGCCTTGTAAAACAGAAGGTGTTGCCATGACTTTTGGCAAGGGTTAGAGCCTGACAATCCACAGCCTCTCTGGTAATCTTGGAGTGATGAGAGAGACAGGAAGATCAGTGGTTTTGTGCCGACGAAAGGAGTGTGGATGTAATTTATCTTGTCTGAGGTGCATAAGGCTGTTTCCAGTGGGAAAGCTTAGCTGTAATTAGGTTGTTGATGAGCCTTGTATACAAACCCTTCAGCTCTATAAACTATGTCTTCAAAGACATCCTTTCTCCTAGGGACCGACCAAGGAGGAATTTGAGCAGTATTTCCAGTGAGCTGATGGATGCTTTTCTGAAACCAGATGCTGGGCAGCCAGCCACTCCATTTACCATCACTGAATGCCTTCGAGCCTGTTGACTTTCTCAGCCTGTCACTAAACCTCAGAGCTGCAAGGGGATGCTTGGCTAAAGGAGAATCCATACTGGATCATTTTCTTCTTGCACATCTGCTATGATGTACCTTCATGGTACTGACTGGGACACAGACGTCTGGCTTGGACACAGGAGTCAGTGCTTGTTGATTTAATTTAATAATTTATATTTTTTTTAGGTGTTTTAAGGTTTTGGGGAGTACTTAACTAGGACAGTTAGCAAAGCATGGTAGGAAAGACCTTATGAAATGGTTGACCTCCTAAGCTTTTTGGTGCTAAACCCTGTGTTCAAAACCAGCAAGGAAGAACTGCTCCATTTCCATCTTAATTTTTCTCCACATAGACACAGAAATAAGAGGTTAATTTGTATATACCAGCAGCCAACCCAGTAAACATAGAAGCCCTAGCAGGAGCCCCCTGCTTTATGCCATTTTGAATGCCTGGCAGTAATACTGATCTCCAGAGCTCTGGGTCTGCAGTGAGCAGGGAAGTGTGGAGGAGGAGAAAGCTTCTTGCTCAGTGCTGTGGTCTGGAGTAGGCTGGGCTGGAGGTGTGGCTTGGGTCCCCCCCTTTACTGGCACAGAGGCTGTGTTAGCAAAACCTGCTGCTGTAGCAAGACTGAGCAGAAAACTGGCCACAGTTTGGCTGGGCTGCCTCTTGTTTGTCTCTGAGATGGACACATCTGGTTTGAGAAGCAGTATTTTGAAAGCTGCTGCAAGACCTTTCATCAGCCTGAGTATTTTTACTGCTCCAGTAACAGTGGAGATCATGGTACTAAACTGCACAAGCCCTCCCAGCTTGGCCAGAGCCTTCAGGAGGGCAGAGTAGGGAAGCTGAGTGATGCTTGGGCAGTGCTGGCGACTGAATGACAGAGTTGCTGCTCCCTTTCTGTGCTCTTAGGTGTTAATGTTTGCTTGGTGGTGTCAAACACTGAATGGGGGTGAATGAGGAGGTTGCAAAAGGGCATCCTGAAGAGAAGGGAATACTTGGGAATCCTCATCAGGAGAAAGGAAAATAAGAGAATAACCAGTTTGAAAATAAGAGAATAATCAGAGAATAACCTGGCTGGAGCATGCTGTCTCTAGCACCTAGTCCTGTCTGGGCTCTGCAATAGTAGGTGGTTGTTCCTCACATGGACACACTGATTTTGCAGTCTCCACCCACAGAAGGATGACAGTGCTGTGCTGAGCAGAGGTCCCAGGTCCCTTGAGATAAAAGTCACCTCCTCCATCTGCTGGCTGTGTCTGCTTGAAGGGAGCTGCTCTCTTCTTTCTCCCTGTGGTCACCATCACTGCTAGTACCTCCCAAAGGCAGTTTATCACCCTGTCCTGGCTACCTCATCCCACCTAGGAAGGGAGAGGTCTTGAGTGGCTATTGAAGAAAGCTGGAAGAGCTGCAAGTAGGTATTTTTTACTGCTACAAGTAGGTAATTATTTGATATCTAGCTGTTTCCCATCACCATCTGTTTGATACTCTGCCAAGAAAGGCAGCTTTTCCTGCTGGTCCCTCCTGCACAGGAGCAGCTGTGGCACCTGGTGCTGGCCCAGGATGCTGCTGACATCCCTGCCCTGCTCTCCCCTTCAGGCCATGGCGAGTGTCACTGCGGGGAGTGCAAGTGCCACGCCGGCTACATCGGGGACAACTGCAACTGCTCCACGGAGACAGACAGCTGTGTTTCCAGCGACGGCCAGATGTGCAGCGGCAGGGGCACCTGCGTCTGCGGGAGGTGTCAGTGCACTGAGCCAGGGGCTTTTGGAGAGACCTGTGAGAAGTGTCCCACCTGCCCCGGCGTCTGCAGCACTAAAAGGTACCCGGGGGTGAGGGTGGGTAAGGAGGGATTTCTTGCTGGTGGGAAGGGCAGCTCTTTGGTTCCTGGGAGACTTTTCAACTAAGAAGTTACTCCTGCTTCATCAGGCAGGGGTGACTGGCCCCAGGCAAGCTTGTTGCTGCTCAAATCCCACACTAAGCAACCCAGGAGTATCCCAGGTAGGGAACCAACAAGCATTGCAGTCCTTATAGAGGTTCATGTCCCTTTTTGTTTCCAGTGCTGTCCTGCTCTGCAGGATAGGGAGACAACCCCAGTTTTGCTGCACCCTAAGCTGCACATGCATGGGCCCAGAGAGCTGCAAGATGTAGAGGAGGGGATGATGGGATGACTCCTGCCTCGCAGTGACAGAGGTGCCCTGGGCACCCACCTCAGACTGGCACAAAGCAGCAATACTGTCTGCCTTGCTCCCAGGCAGGATGGAATTTGCAGTAGCTGATGGGCAAATAGTCCCCAGACCTAACAGCTGTTTTGCACCTTCATTGAGTCCACCCCTAGAATAAATCCATCCTTGAGCTGGAGATACTTGTGCAGACGTGCAGCCTCCAAATGAACACCAAGGAATCCCTTTTTGAGGGGGCACCTCTATATTGATACGGTTTCTGAAGGGTGTTTAATCTTCCCCTTGTGTGTCTTTCTGCAGGGACTGCATTGAATGCAAGCTGTTTAACTCAGGAAGACTGGCTGATAACCAAACCTGCCAAAAGCACTGCAAGGATGAGATCATCACCACTGTGGATGTTCTTGGTAAGTAGGCAGCCAGTGACTGCAGCACTGGACTCCTCTTAACCAGACTGACACACACCTGTAAAGAAAGCCTCAGGGGACACCTAGTATTCAGAAATGCATGTGTGTATGTAGTATGCATCTGTGCATATGGGGTGTGTGTCACCCTCTCTCTGGGCTGTCATTTGTATTGAAGTAAAAGGAACTTTGATTTTAAATAACGCCTTAAAATCAAGATGCATGAGGACTTACTGCTGCTAGTGCAAGGAGCAAAGAGAGTAGGATGAGCCAGAAGATGAGACGAAATCTGAGAGAGTGCAGGACAAAGTATTACTCAAAAAAAGCATTTTCTATGCTTCTGAGAATTTAACTTGGGTGAAGTGAGCCTGTAAGAGAAAGCAAAGCTCTTTTGGAGATAGTGAGTTCTGCTTTGGTGGAACTGACTGCTCATCACCTGCCCTTTATGTCCTCTTCTAGAGATCACTCCACACTCAACAGATTACTTTCTCCTTCTTTTCAAGCTCCATTCTGAGAATCCATGGTTGCTAGTTGGGGGAGTAGAGGGCACCCAAACTGGGACAGCTTTAAATCCTGACTGTGGTCTTAGCAATACCTCTTGGAGGGACAGATGGAGATCAAGCAGGAAAAATTACTGTCCACATCTGACATTTCCTCATCTTCCCATAGTTTATGGAGGTAGAAGGGCTCTAGCTTGGTCACCCTTTCTTTCCCTTCCTCCTGAGCTGCCTGCAGATGATAATTATCTCATTGTCTCCTCTTATATCCAGTGTCTACCATTTAAGTTACGACCAGCAGGGTTTCCTGCCTTTCCCTTTAGGAGTCTTGCTCTCATTCTATCCATTTTTCCTGCAGTTTACCTGGGAGTGCACCTACACCAGCACATTGCAGGAGGTTACAAGGCACTTCCAAAACACACAAAGCTCCTTCCTGGTGCCTGGCTGGCCCTCATTTCTTAGGGGCCAACAAATACTGCGGATTAAAGTTCAACTCTCCTGCCTGGGTGTTGCACCCTGCCAAAACCAGCTTTCGTGTTGACTGCACCCTGGGAGTGAGGCAGGGCTGTAGTTTGCCAACCCCCCACATGGCTTTCAGAGAAAAACACAGCCAGATTTCTATGTTAAAGGCATTCTGGAGAATTGTGCTTATTCTCCTGTTGAACTTGTGCAGTCAGATTGTGGGTGGTGCTGAGCTCTTGGTAGCTCAGGGCACCCTGCAGCTGGGAGATCTGGGCTACTAGAGAAATAGGTAAAGCAAAATATTCCTAGAGAAAGTGCTTGGGGACTGTGGACTTTGTTACAGGCAGACTCAGCCATATCCTGATGTTCAAGTGCTTTTGTGTTATGTAGCACATGTTAAAAGTCCCTGCTGAGAGGCTGAACACTGATATTTGTGACAGAAGACATAAGTCTGCATTGTCCTGGCAGTGGAGGATGGGACCTTCTTAAATATCAAGTTGCAGTGAACACACCCTGGGAGTTCCCACATGCCTTTTGGCTCTGGGTGTGAAGCAGCCAGTGCTTCAAAGCTTCATAGAGCAGAGGCATCTATCATTGGACTGATGAGCTAGAACTAGGCCTTTTGGGAGGTTTGTGTGACTTGCACTGGATTCTGCAGGATCGCCTTCACTTCTGCAATATTACATTTCCATTCCTGATGGTTTCAGAGAGGAGCTTTAACACAAGAGGAGCAGGACAGTTTCAGTGAGCTGAGGCTGCCAACAGCACACATCAGTGGACCTGAAAGTCTGATGGGGCCATCATGCCTGCCTCTGTGGATGTGTGATCTCTGAAACCTAATGAAGACCAGCAGAGATCATTACTATCGAGCCTTTAGTCACTGTCTCTTTTAGCAGAGTAATGGTGCAAGGGTGGGATTGAAAGCAACTGGGCCTGGAGGAACTAAGATTTTCTGCTCAGCTCACGATGGCATTGAGTCTAGAAACATGGAAGGTTTTAAAAATATTAATGTAATTAGTACTTTGCTTTATAGCACTCAGCACTTCTCCAGCCCTTCCTTAGATACCATTGTGTACATAGAGAAGATTCTCCTATCTCTCAAGGTAGGAGCAGATGAGGTTTGTCCACACCAGGAGCCTCATCAGGACTCACCAGAGGGTCATTTGCATCTGGGCTCAGAGCTGTTGAAATGGGGGGTATTAATCTTCCAATTGAAAGCAGGTCAAAGGTATTGAAAGGAAAAGATAAACAGACAAGGGAGAGATAGGGATCACGTGAATTGTGATCAAACTGTGCTGCTTTCCAGGCTTGTTCCCTGTTCCTCTGCTCCCTGGCAGCAGTGGGGAGCCCTGCTCAGCTTGCAGAGGAGAATTGTGTTAATTCCTAATATTAAACCTGCCAACTAAGTAAAACAAGCTCTACATTGCAGCTTTTGACATGTTCTGTTAGAAAGGGGGATCACGTCAAAATCAGGGGCACCCTGACGATTGGAAGTTGTTGGGAGGAATTACCTTACTAAGAAGAGGGTGTTGAAAGCATTTGTGTAAGAAATTAGGATACAATAGTTCTGCTGTCTTTAGGATTATTATTATTTTTTTAAATATAAAAATCCAAAATAAAACACTGTGACTGCACCTCATTCCAGAGACAGATGACCCGAACGCGATCCTCTGTGCCTACCCAGTGAACAACTGTGTCATGAAGTTCACCTACTTGGAGCTTGCCAGTGGGAAATCCAACCTCACCGTCCTCAAGGAGCCAGGTTGGCCTTCCCTTGCATTTCCTTTTAGTGGCACAGGCTACCTCGTGAGAAGTGACAGGCTGCTGGAGGCAGAAAGGCTGGTTTCACTGCCTGCATGAAAATATCTGCATGCAGATGAACCTGGATGATTTTAAAAAAAATAAAAATGATGTGTTGACAGTACTGGAGCCCAGCTCCAGATGCTCCCAACTCAGTAAAAACAGGACTGTGGCTGAGACTGAAACATGCACCTGAGCCACCAGGTTTGCTAGCAAGCAGCTGAAGGGCTCCCTGCCAGCTCGGGAGGCTGAAGTTAAACCCTATGTTGAAAACACATGCCACGCATTGAGGTGGTGGTATAGCCAAAAAAATCTAAAGGGGAGACCTGATGCTGCTGGTTAAGTTGGGATGCTAGGAAACCCTCCCACCACCTATGGATTTCTGCATTTCCAAAGAGCCAGTTTTGGTCCAGGCAGCATAAGGGCTGTGTGTTCCCACTCCCCTCCCCAGGCTGCAGCAGACAGTTATGCTTCCCAGTGTTATTTTAATCATGTGCAATGCAGTTTCTCAAAGAAAAGCCCACGTGGTGTTGCAGGACAAGCTGGTGAGCACCCAAAAGTAGCTTCTTGTGATCTGTTCTGGTCCTCTGAGACACAGTCCAGTATGGGAAAGACTGAGATACCAGATGTTTTATTTTATTTGTGCTGCAGCTTGCACTTGATTGAAAGAATAGTTGATTAGTGGATACTTAATATACTTATTTAAAGTGCCTAGTGATCACCTGTGTCCATGTCCAATGTCAACTGGCATTAAAACCAGATGTCACTGTTGGATTGTGACACTGCAGCACTGGTCTTCCCGTGAAGCACTGTGTGACATCCTGGCTCTGGTGACATCCATGAGAGCTGTGCCTTTGACCTGCCTCTAGCCAGGCATTTAAATTTTTTTAAACCCCTCTGGTTTCAGAGAGGACTGTTGCTTTTTTAACTTTAGTCACTGGTGCTAGTGCTGTTCACTTGCTCAGAGGCTGCAGTCCAGGTCATTACATCCCAGTATCCTGATCCAGGATACAGAGCTAATGACCTTCTCCCCCTTGTTACCAGCATGCAGCTCAGCCCCCAGCGCTGTGACAATCGTGCTGGCAGTGATTGGCAGCGTGGTCCTGATTGGCATCATCCTGCTGGGGCTCTGGAAGCTGCTGGTCACCATTCACGACAGACGGGAATTTGACCGATTCCAGAGTGAACGCTCCCGGGCCAGATACGAAATGGTGAGCGTGGGGCAGGGGTGCTGCTGGCCTGGGGGGATGGGGAGGGAGCTACCAGGATGTGCTGGCAGCAAACAGTTCTGTGGCGATGGAGAAGGGTGACAGGCAGAAGGGATGCAAGGTCCAGCACGTGGCAGTGCCCTTTGCTTTTGGCAAGTGACAATTATACCCAGCGCTTGGTTTCATCACACGTTTCCCAGCAGTGCTGGAGGGGTGAAAGATGTAGGGGAGCAGGGGCTAAGCTCTGACTTGTGGCAGGAGCCAGGTTGGTCAGGTCTACGAGGAAGCCCTTCAGGGAGGCTTTAGGTGGGGCTGCCCAGCATTTGAGGGATCACCTGTGCCTGCAGACTGGCCAGAAAGTGGGTCTGGTGGGCAAACAACATTTTTGGCTCTGAATGCACATTTCAGTCAAAGTCACATGCAGGGGTATCTCCAAATTAACTGGGACAGGAAGGGGGGTTTATACAAGTTTTCATCATGACTTTCAGAGGACTTTGTTCCTTACCTTTATTCTTTTTGTCTGTTCATTTCTCCCAAGGCATCCAATCCTCTCTACCGAAAGCCCATTTCCACACATAACGTAGAGTTCACGTTCAACAAGCTCAACAAGTCTTACAACGGTACAGTTGACTGATGGGGTCTTGGCACCTGGCACTGCTGTGGACAATTGCTTGACTGTATGTGCTGCTTCCCCACTTGAAGACGGGATCCTCTTCAGGGGCAAGAATCCCTTACGACAGGACTGGTCAATGACCAAAGCCAGTTATTTGCACAGTAAAGAGAAAAGTCTGGTTCATCCTGGAGGCACGGACACGAAGGCAGGCTCCCCACCTGGGACTCCTGCTGCTGGACTCCTAGCTGTGTGCCACTCTGTACCCCAGCTTTCAGGATATATTAAACCTGCCAACTAAGTCAACCAAGTGCCATATTGCAGCTTTAGACATATCCCTTTAGACAGGGTGACTAGGTCAAAAACCAGGGGAACCCATGCCATTGCAAGTTGTTTGGAGGGGGTAGGGGTGGGGGAATTAGCTTAAAAAAAGGAGGGTTTTGGAAGGCATTTGTGTAAGGAATTAGGATACAGGAGTTCTGCAGTCTTTAGGAATTTTTTTTTTATATAAAAAACAAAATAAAACTATTGTGCATATATGATGCTGTGAGTAGAGTTCATTGTTTCCTTGCTGAGCTCCCCCCCCAAAAATGCTGGGGCTTGCTCCTGCAAGTAACAGTGGTGCTGCCTGATTGATTTATTAATAGAATCTTATCAGGCAAAGCATGTCTATAAAAACAGGAGCTGGAGCCGCAGTGGCTGCTGCAGAAGGTATGTTGATTTAATATCCTGGTGTTGACCCAGGGCAGGGAGTGCCACAAGGAGCTCCTGCTCTGTGCTGGTGGTGTTAAACAGACTAGAAACTGGTGGGAGCCTGAGGGACATGGGTGTTCTTGGGGTGTGCAAGTAGGCGTCTGGCCCATGTGCCTGCAGGAGGACAGCTGGAAGCACAAGGCATCTCACCCAGACCTTTGGCTCCTTACCAGAGGACCAGAGCTGTGAGGTCCAGCAGAACCCAGCTGGAAAAGCAGGGGACTGCTGAGCTTTAGCCTGGAAAGGGAGGGAGATAAAACCCAGTGTTGTTGCTCCACAACATACATTTTCTTTGGTTTTGTTTGTTGTTTTTTTTTTCCCCAAAAAACCCTGCTCCCCCAGCCCCATCTGCTTTCCTATGGAGCTGGGGTTTGAGTTGGGCTGCAGCTTTAAACTCACCAGCCTGCAACAGGGCTGCAGCCATGGTGGGAGAGGAATTGGAGCAGTTGCTACTGCCTGTTTTTGTTTTTTTTTTCCCCTTTTTTTTTCTTAATTTTCTTGTTTCTTCACCCCGAACAGATCACGCAATAGTCAGCTGGAGGAAGCTTGCCAGGGAAAAGCAAAAACAAATGGTGCTCATTGTTTTGACTTGCTCTTCTCATTGGAAAAGGGCCATGGGCCCATCCTTCTGGATTTTTTTTTTAGATTTTTTTTTTTTTTAATTTGTTTTTACCTCTATAAACAGAAGCTCTTGTTTGCTCAGTATAAACAGCTCTCCATCAAGAACTTTATGGTCATCCCCTCCTCCTCCTACCAGCAGCACTGAAGAAACGCAGGACACCACACTAAAAATAGCTTGAAATGGGGATTTTTAGGAGTGCAGCAAGTGGCACACTGGCTCTATCAGTGCTGATCAGGTAAGGTAAAAAAAACACCACCAAAAAAATCCCTAAAATAAAAAATCCCAAATAAATTAAATCCATGCCCTGTCTTTCTACTTGATTCCACTGAGTCTGCCCCAGTAGGAAGAGAGGGGGTGCATATATCCTGAAAATGAGTGCAAGGGCAGGGTCTGGTTAACTGCTGGTGCTGCCTGGTGTAACTAACCTACCATGGGTGTGCTGGAGGCTGTGCTGCCTCCTGCCCAAAGCCCCACCAGCAATGGGACACTGAGTTAGTGCTGAGAGACAGGACAGTCAGGCCAGGCATGGAGAGAGGAAAGTTTGACTCATTGCTAAGGGGTGACTCGGGTAGGGAGAGGAGGAGAGCAAGGGCTGGGGACAGAGTTGCAAGTGCCCTCCTTTCCCTGCAAAGGGACACTCAGCTGTGGAGCAAATGGGTGTGGGGAGTAAGCAGGTGAGGGAAGGTCCCACAGGCTAGGAACCCAAGAAAGTGTAGCCAAAAAAAGGAAGGAAACAGAGTTGGTGACTGTCAGCAAAAGGCATCTTGCTGCCAGGGGTGCTGTGCCAGGCAGCACAGAGCAGAACTGTGGGTGTCTCCTGAGAACAGCAGTTGCCATGCTGGGGTGTGGGAAGGCTTCAGCAGCCTGGTCAGGCTGGCTTCAGGTCACTGCTGCTATCAGAAGGTACCACAGTCATCTCATATAAATAAATAAATGACACAGTTTCTTGTTTCTAATTTTTGCAGGCTCTGATCTGCCAAATTTAGCTTTTGCACAAGGTTGCATTAAAAAAAATAAAAAGAAGAAGAAGGAAATGATGCTAAGAGCAAGAAGGCTCTGCTTGGCCGTGTGAGCGGAGCTGCCTTTACTCTTGCAAGGTTAGTGCCAAGCAGTCATGGGAATGCTGTATTTCAGTCAGCAGCAGCTTATTTGTGTCTGTAAATACAGGCAGCCTGATCAAGGCTAGCATTCCTGAATGAAAGCTACAGCAGAAGGCATCGACGGGTCACATGTGATGGAAAAACGTCAGCTCTTGTCTGGCTCAGCTGGAATCCAGATGCCATTGCAACCCCAGCTCCTCCTGCTTCCCCAACCGCAGCTGGAGGCCATTGGGGCTGGGGCTCACCAGTACTTTTCTCCCTGTGCTGCTAGTGTTTCTGGGGGAGAGCATCACATTGCTCCTTGGGAAGAGGTGGTATTCATGAACACACAAATACCTCTTTGCTAGCTGAAAAAATAGAACCCAAGGCGCAGGGATTTTGGGTAGCTGTGAGGGATGCTCCCCCCCCGAGTGAGCAGTACCTTGGGTCAGACATCACCAACCCACCCTGAAGCTGCTACAGCTCATGCCTGCAAGAGCAGAACACCTACCAGTCCATCACTTTGCAAGGTAGATGTTTGTGCCTGCCTCCCCCTCCCCGAGCCTACTGAGCCCCCCTGCACAGCAGCAGGTTGCCCAAGGCCAATAACCACACAGGGACGTCTCTGAAGGTCACTCCTCCAGGCTGAGACACCCTTCACCTGGCATCTGGTGTCTATAACAAGGTAAGTGACATTTCACACTAAGCCTAAAGGTATGGTGTATCCAGCTATAGCTTAATTATTAGAGGTAAAATAGTATGTTTCACTGGTAGTGGTAGAGTGTTTTACCACTGTCTAAATCATCATCTAATCACCAGATAAATTATCATTTAATTAATACTTTAAATCATTGTCAAATAATTGTTAAATCACTGTTTAATTGTCAATTATTGCTTAACCAGAATTTGATGACCATTGGGTTTTCATTTACTCATTGATGAATTACAATTGGATCATCATTTAGTCATTAATAAAACCCTTCTAGTGAAGTCCACAATTATGACTTTCCTTAATAATTCACCTGTGACAGCAGCCAATTGTGGGAGATAATTTCTGTTTGTAGGTTCCTTAAAGTATCCATAGTAACATTTTGGGTCATTTCAAGTGCAGTGTAAATAGTAAAACCAGCTTGTTCTAACTCAGGGACACCCAAGTGTGGAAAGAGGCCATGTACAAATGTGTGGAACTTAGATGGGCCTGTTCCTGCCTTTTCAGGGATCCACCATGCACAACGGCACGGAAGGTTTGTTACCTCTCTTCTTTACTTCATTACACTTTACTACTACCAAGGTAAGTATAGTTACAACTGGCAAAACAAGTTCTTACAAATTGGCACCAGAAAGTAAACATAATTTTCCACAGCTACAGCCTAAATATTAGCAGCAAGTCTGTACTTCAGTATTACAAATTACCACAGAATTACCTACCGCTAGTAAAACAGAAAATAGATCCATCAGTAATTACTTAAATGCGGGTTTCTTTTCTCTTTTATTTTCTTTTCTCTTTTCTTCTCTTTTCTTTTCTTCTCTTTTCTTTTCTTTTCTTTTCTTTTCTTTTCTTTTCTTTTCTTTTCTTTTCTTTTCTTTTCTTTTCTTTTCCTTTTCTTCTTTTCTTTTCTTTTCTTTTTTCTTTTTTTCTCTTTTCTTTTCCCTTTCCTTTCCTTTCCTTTCCTTTCCTTTCCTTTCCTTTCCTTTCCTTTCCTTTCCTTTCCTTTCCTTTCCTTTCCTTTCCTTTCCCTTCCTTTCCCTTCCTTTCCCTTCCTTTCCCTTCCTTTCCCTTCCTTTCCCTTCCTTTCCCTTCCTTTCCCTTCCTTTCCCTTCCTTTCCCTTCCTTTCCTTTCCTTTCCTTTCCTTTCCTTTCCTTTCCTTTCCTTTCCTTTCCTTTCCTTTCCTTTCCTTTCCTTTCCTTTCCTTTCCCTTCCTTTCCCTTCCTTTCCCTTCCTTTCCCTTCCTTTCCCTTCCTTTCCCTTCCTTTCCCTTCCTTTCCCTTCCTTTCCCTTCCTTTCCCTTCCTTTCCCTTCCTTTCCCTTCCTTTCCCTTCCTTTCCCTTCCTTTCCCTTCCTTTCCCTTCCTTTCCCTTCCTTTCCCTTCCTTTCCCTTCCTTTCCCTTCCTTTCCCTTCCTTTCCCTTCCTTTCCCTTCCTTTCCCTTCCTTTCCCTTCCTTTCCCTTCCTTTCCCTTCCTTTCCCTTCCTTTCCCTTCCTTTCCCTTCCTTTCCCTTCCTTTCCCTTCCTTTCCCTTCCTTTCCCTTCCTTTCCCTTCCTTTCCCTTCCTTTCCCTTCCTTTCCCTTCCTTTCCCTTCCTTTCCCTTCCTTTCCCTTCCTTTCCCTTCCTTTCCCTTCCTTTCCCTTCCTTTCCCTTCCTTTCCCTTCCTTTCCCTTCCTTTCCCTTCCTTTCCCTTCCTTTCCCTTCCTTTCCCTTCCTTTCCCTTCCTTTCCCTTCCTTTCCCTTCCTTTCCCTTCCTTTCCCTTCCTTTCCCTTCCTTTCCCTTCCTTTCCCTTCCTTTCCCTTCCTTTCCCTTCCTTTCCCTTCCTTTCCCTTCCTTTCCCTTCCTTTCCCTTCCTTTCCCTTCCTTTCCCTTCCTTTCCCTTCCTTTCCCTTCCTTTCCCTTCCTTTCCCTTCCTTTCCCTTCCTTTCCCTTCCTTTCCCTTCCTTTCCCTTCCTTTCCCTTCCTTTCCCTTCCTTTCCCTTCCTTTCCCTTCCTTTCCCTTCCTTTCCCTTCCTTTCCCTTCCTTTCCCTTCCTTTCCCTTCCTTTCCCTTCCTTTCCCTTCCTTTCCCTTCCTTTCCCTTCCTTTCCCTTCCTTTCCCTTCCTTTCCCTTCCTTTCCCTTCCTTTCCCTTCCTTTCCCTTCCTTTCCCTTCCTTTCCCTTCCTTTCCCTTCCTTTCCCTTCCTTTCCCTTCCTTTCCCTTCCTTTCCCTTCCTTTCCCTTCCTTTCCCTTCCTTTCCCTTCCTTTCCCTTCCTTTCCCTTCCTTTCCCTTCCTTTCCCTTCCTTTCCCTTCCTTTCCCTTCCTTTCCCTTCCTTTCCCTTCCTTTCCCTTCCTTTCTCCCTTCCCTTCCCTTCCCTTCCTTTCTTCATATTA